ATAAAAGTTAATTTGATATTTTTAAAAGGGAGCATCAAAATAGCTTCTAATGAAAAGATTGCTTAAAAAACGCATTGGACAGGAAACACAGATCTCAATACAAGTAGTCTTCCACTTACAACTATTTATTTAGTGACCGTTTGAAGTTACAACAACAATGAAAAATGACTTTTGATTGTTTGTTACACTTATAACCATTGCAATATCCCCATGATCATGTGATCAAAATTTGGATACTTGGCAACTGGATTGTATTTATGAGGAATACCTGTATTTTTCCCCCATAATTTTATGACCGTTCTTTTCTTCTGTTTGCTTCTTTAGTTAGTTTCTTATTTCTGTTTTTTTTTAAATCCCCTAACCTTAATTTTAGTATCCCAACCAAAAACTTATTTTCTGAACTGTTCTGGAGAATCTCTAAATGCGCTTGGTGAGCCACCTTTCTTTGCAATTACTATGTGTGCAAAGATCCTTTCTCTGGCCTCCTCTGATAGACATATGACTGTTTAGCTAAAGGGTCTCTCTTAATGAAAGACACTGATTAATAAAATGTGTTATAATAGGCGAAACATGCTCTTTAAGACTTCCAAAGCTTTGTAGTTACCCATTAATTCAAGTGCAAATTGAAATATGGTTAACATTCTGTTGAAATAAAGTGACTCAGACTTGAAGGATCCCCATTTTACTTGCACTTAGGATGTTCCAGATAATTCACTACAGACAGAGCAACAACAACTGAAGAGGGTATCAATTATTATCTCCCTTTTTAATGCTTCACATGTTTTCTAAAAAAATAAATAAATAAATAACAGTCTAATATTTTCAGGCCCTTACTGTTAGAAATACTGTACTTACTCTGTCTTTTTACAAATTAATTGCAATTGAACAGAATTAGTCAAGAAAATATAAATGGAGCTGTAGTTAAGTGAATAACAATTATTCCTCAGCATTGAACACTTGAATAGAACGTAGTACTTTAGCCTAAATCAAGTTTTCATAATCTGAGTGTCCCCCAGGTATGTGGATTGCAACTCCCAATCTCTCCACCAGCTAGTCATTGCTGAAAATTTTGGGTGTTGAAATCCACAGATCTGGCAGGCCCTGGATTTAGATAAATCTTTGCTTATAACCATGAAGTAGTAGATTGAGAAGGATTCAATTTTTTAAATATATACAGAGCAAAAATTGCTATTCCCCTGCAGGTTTCCTTGCATTGAACCCTACCACATATATGTACTTCAACACCCATTATTCTCAGCTACGATCATACTACAGGTAGTCCTCTGTCTTACAAGCACAATTGAACCAAAAATGTATGTTGCTAAGTGAAACATTTGTTAAGTGTGTTTTGCCCCATTTTATCAGCTTTCTTACCACAGTTGTTAAGGGAACCATTGCAGTTGTTAAGTTAGTACCACTGTTAAGAGAACCTGGCTTCCCCATTGACTTTGCTTGTCAGAAGGACACAAAAGCTGTCCATATGACCCTGTGACACTGAAAACATCATAAATATGAATCAGTTGCCAGTTGAATTTTGATCACATGACCCTGGGGATGCTGCAAAAATCATAAGTGTGTGAAAAACAGTCATAAGTCACTTTTTTCAGTGCCATTGTAACTTTGAATGGTCACTAAACGAACTGTTGTAAGTTGAGCACTACCTGTACTTGGGAATCCTGTGAATTGAAATTCACATATTTTGGAGGATGTTCAGGTTGAGAAAAACTGCATCTCACACTTCTCTTTTCTCCCTAGGGATGATTTCTTAATTACCCAGGTGCTTCTCTCTCATTCCTCAAAATCTCTGATCAAGGCCTGCTCCAAAGAGTAGTGTGAACTCACAAACCTTTCTGAGAACCAACTCAAGGCTCACCATTCATTTTTAGTTTGCATAACATATTGAATAGGAGCAGATGCGGTCTAAGATAAGCCCTGGATCACTACATGTGTCAAGTTTAAAAAGTTCCTAAAAACTGTGGGTTGCCATCTTCTACTAAAGAAAAGGAAATATTTAATTTCAATAGGTGGAAAAGGTGGATGTCCCCTTTTCTGAAAGAGCTCTTTGAAAAAAAAAGGGGGGAGGGAGTTAATTTGGATCATGTCTCTACATGGCTATAATATCTTGCCCAATGTATTTATTCATAAGAAACATCATTAAAATTGCCTTCTTTAGTGACTGGATATTTGAATACAACCACTGCTCCTTCCCCATTCATCAGCAAAATGAGGAATTTTTAAAAATCCAAATATCCCTGTATCATAATAAAACTTGGAAATCTCCCAATCACCTTCCCCAAAATATATTCTTTAGCAGAAATGGGAGAATTATTTTATTATTGGATCTGCAAGAATACAGGTCCTTGTAGTTTGCCATATGTACCCCCATATAACGGCTTAGAATTACTGTTAAATTCTGATCGTCAGGGAGCTTTGAGCTGACAAATTCTTCTGGGGAAAGTTTTGGAATATTGTAGAGTACAGCTTTCCCGCTAAGCAACAATACTTTTGTGGAAAGAGAAAGAATAAATAACCAGAAGAGACAGACAAAATCCAAAGGCTTTTCTGAATAGGATAGAATGTTTAATATTCAATGAGTTGCCATTCTGAAGAATCATGTAACTTTGAGACTTCAGAGAATGGGTCACTAGCAAGCTAATATATTTTAATATCAATTTACTGGCAGAATAAGGAGTATGGCATATATGATGGAGCAACACTGATTTTCTGTTGCTCCATAAGGAAGAATAGAATTAAATAGTTTGAAAACTGGAAGTCTATAATATCTATCTTTCCATTGATTAAAACGAGCTTTTGTCATACTTTTTAGGTTTGTGTGCTTACTAGGGATTCTTTCCAAGTTATTGCTGAATCACCGAATAATTTTCCAGATTGATCCTACACGTAGATATGGTTAATGGTAATATTTTCTTCCAAAGGTGATTTTCAATAAGCCAAGTATATTGGAATCCCAATAATATTTAAGGAAATAAATGCCCCAAAGAAAAAAAGAGTGTATCTTTTATTGCAAGTTACTTGGGGTATGATTTATTTTTAGATTTGCACAATCTGCAGCCACCACAAAAAATATTAACATTCGATTTCCCACCACATCATTCCTGTTCCTCTGTTTTTCATTCCTTCTCCTTTCCAGCCATAAATCAAGGTTGTCCTGCAGAGACACCTCAATGTATCTGGTGATCTTCAGTACTCACCAAACCAATCATAAAAGCAAAGTGATGCTTTGTAAGTAAGTCCAAAAATAAACACAAATGTGGGAGACAGAACACACACATATACACACTGGTAAGTTTTTTATTGTTTTATGTGTGACTGTTTGAAAATGAAATCAAGTTGTCCAAGAGCAAAAGACTGATTAAGTGCCAACCTGGGCCTGCTTACTTACTTGTGAACAAGTTCTATTGAAATCTGGAGGTTTTTTTAAAAAAAGAGTAAGCATAATTAAAATTAAGGCTAAATGGACAAGTTAAAATATCCTTCTCATCTATCTATACACAGATTGCCAAGAAATGTTTCAACTGCCAACAGGGTATGAGAAGAATTATCCACTCCATGGCTCCTAGCAGTTTAACAAAACACACTCTCTTAAGCATCCAGCACTGAAAGGGTCAAAGCCACAGTATTTACTGAACCCTCCTGAGGACAAATGTTGTTTACAGTATATGTTTAAAAGCATATTCCTGGCTACTAGGTCTTTCCCTTAGGATAGTGCAATTACAACAGTAACTGAGGATTAATTAAAGCCTTTCCCACAGGTGTTGCTGGAGATCTCGAATCGACCAAATGGGGATACATTACTGACTTGGCACAGAGGTGAACAGACCAGAAGCCATTCAACAGTAATTACTGAGGCACAAGGGTAGGCTGGAGCTTCTCCTCCTCCTCTCTTGCTTCATTTATCTGATTGTGATTAACACCTCTCTTTCATAGGTATAATGCCAAAGACACAGGAGGGCCCCTATTTTTGTGTGAAAGAGGCGAAGGAGAAGCAGAAGGCCTTTCTTTGCTGCAGCCAGCAAAGAGGGTGTTCCTTTCCTCGCCATTTAAGAAACACCTGCACCAAGGAGCTTTTTCCCTTCTTTCCCAAGGCCTTTGCCCCTGAGCTGTTGGGAGTGGGAGGAAATCAAACTAATGCCAAGGATTCCCTTATCCCCTCCCGCCTTCCAAGGCTTCTGCATACTTGGCACTTCAGGGCTAACACACTGAGCCTTAGGGAAATTCCGGCCTGCCAGTTGACTTCAATCACCAGGTGAAACATTCTGTGTGGCTGCCACCTTTGTTAGGGTGCCAGCATTCTCTCAGATTAGGTGGATCGAACAGGTCAGGGCCAATGTGTGGAGGAGGCTGCCACAGGGCAGGGAGTTACTTCTTTTTCTCCTGTAATTAGGCTTATTTATGGAAGAGAATTGATCAGCAATGGCTCTTAGTCATGGCTAGCTAAATGGAACATCTGATTCAGAAACATAATGTCTCAATGGCTAAGCTCAGGCTGGACCCAGGCCTCTACAGGACTCAACTCTATCCTACACACAAAAAAATTCTCTCAGAGGGGCCCAGGAGCCCCCATCTTTGGATCTGAAGCTGTTAATTCTGGATGCCATATCTTTCTTTCATCTATGAGATATCCTGTTTTTCTTACACCAATGATATATTCTTTTATCAAGCCACTTTGGAAATATAAATGTAGCGTCTGTTGAAGGGCAACTGAATGTACAAGATAGTGAAGTGCTGTCATATGCTGATACCTATATAGACCTGCAGTAGGAGATTTGGAGCTGAGTATTCAAAGAAGAACTCAAGTCAATTAAACAATCATACAGATGGGTAAGAACAATTCAAGTTTAAAAGACTCACTCATAATTTATTTCACAAATTAATATACTCGGTGTCCCATGTCAGGGAATTATCCTTAAAAACAAAAACAAAACAAATGGACAGAGACTGCACTTTTGCTGCCACTTTCTATTCTCTTTCTTACATACCTTTTCCCCAGCAGCTTCCCTTCACTCTTTGGCCAGCTAGGGCAACGAAGTGTTCTGGACAAGCCATCTGTCTTAGATGCAATAAAACACACTGCTCCAGACAGCAAATAAAGAGGGCAGCCCCAGTTCACCACATGTCCCAGTCCACTGCCAGAAGCTTCAAGCAGCTGCTTCATTGTCTAATGACAGAGTCTTCTCTGCATTACCTGTTATAGTTCATTGTGACACGAATGAATAGGCACAAACGGTAGCTCATATCTCTATCATTTCCTCATGAGTCACTATAAAGAGGATTTCAGATCTTTCTTCATTTGCTTTTCCTTTGCTTTATCAGGGATGGATTGTTAGTAAATTTAATTATACCCTAGTTAATTTGTATTTACATTTCATTAGTCATTGTTAAAATGACCAAAGTTGTGGATCTAGATAACATACTACTTTTGTTCAGGCCTGTACAAATCTGTAGTGAATAGCAGTGAAGCAGTGAACTGATTGTCCACATGTCCAGTACAATTATCTGCATCCTTTTTGAACCTTTTCATTCCGAGCTGCACTTGCAAAGGCTTCAACACAACCCCTAGCACTATCAGGGTTGCAGCTCCTACAGACTTCTTGTACACAGCTCTATAAACAAAGCTTCCTTTTGCAAATGATCTCACTGTCCTTGTGGACAGCCAGTCCTTCACTGACATCACAGGGCAACAGTGATTAGAGAAAGGTTGCTTAAACTTACTGGTGTGTTGAGTTTTAAATGTAAAAACATGCTAAACACTGAAAGAATTTTACACTCTGGTATTGAAGATGGAAAATAATCAAGGAAAGAAGCAACCTAAAACTAAGGAGAAATTTCCTGACAGAACAATTAATCAGTGGAACATCTTGCCTCTAGAAGTTGTGAATGCTCCAACACTGAAAGTTTTTAAGAAGAGATTGGACAACCATTTGTCTGAAATGGTTTCCTGCCTGAGCAAGGGGTTGGACTAGAAGACCTCTGAGGTTCCTTCCAACTCTGTTATTCTATTCTATTCATTTTCCCTTTGTCTATTATTTAAGAACATGTTTTCTTGCAGTTTAAGCCTGTTACTTTATGAACTATGGACTAGAGCAGTGATAGCTAATCTTTTCCAGACCAAGTGCCCAAAGCATGCACGCCCAAATCACAAAATGCATGCATGCGACCCTGCATGTGTATGCCCCCCCACATGCCCCCCATGCATGTGTGCACACACCCCTGCCCCGTGCGCATGTGCGGCAGAGACCCGACAACCAGTTGGCGGCAGGAGGTGCACACACATGCGTATCGGAGCTGAACTGGGGCGACGGCTCGCATGCCCACAGAGAGGGCACTGTGTGCCACCTGTGGCATGCGTGCCATAGGTTCGCCATCATGGAACTAGAGGCAAGATGAACACTGTTCCCTCTGTACCTTCCAACCTTTTGCATTACTTTCAAATCTTGCATTCAAGCATTTCTTCCATGGTAAAAGTATCACATTCTTGTATTATCTGAATGCACAATTGACATAATTTAAGAATTTTGACCTAGTTACCCAGGTCAGTGATTTTTTTAAAACTGCTTTATGTATCACAGTGACTATTATTTGTCAAGTTGTCTTTTTTTAAAAAATGAGATGTCTGTTTTAGGTATCAGGCAAATGGAGCATATTAGCAACATTTTGCTAGTTTTGTTAATTTATTTTAATTCGGTTAGTCACTAGCAAAGACAAAAGCATACGCAAGGGAATGACATTTCACCCTAATTACTAAAACCTTGTTTGACTATCTGTCTTAGGTTTCAGAGTTTTGAGAAGGCATTAGTCATTGCCAGCCATTGACGTCATTGGCAGATGATGTCATTGCCAGCCATTTTTCTGTGGCTTTGTGAAGCTGAAGTTTGGCAATTTTTGATGTACCACACATTGTTCACTCATATTTTTAAGCCATAACTTTGTTGTTTAAAATGAATGTTGAGATTTTGAGAAATGTTGGGATCACTGGGTTAGGCCAGGTAAATTCATTGTTGTGTCCTCTGAAAGCCTTCTTCCCATTTTCAATTCATCAATGTTTTTCTTTCCAACTGGAGAAAGTGGGAGTTGAACATAGGCTTCTTGGTATGAAAGATACGCATTCTACCCGTAGCACTTAGATCTTTTCATGAAGAAGTCAAATTCTGTAAAACATTTCTGTCCTTTTCTGAACTTGAATAGATTTGCAGAATTCATCCAGCCTGGCTACAAGCTCTCACCAGCAGGTGGTGCTGGATGTTGATGTATGAGGTGAAATACTCTTAATACCAATTTGTTGTAACATACCTGTAGTTATCACTCCAGCAAGGAGACAGACATGAGATGAGTGGACAGGTAGCTTCGGGCAAGGAAATACCTCCATTAGGGTTATGTGACCAAGAGGTAGCCCCCCTTATACTCTATTTAGGTTATTTTAAAAATCTTCTTTTTTGACTAGAGCTTAAGGTTGCATCAATTTTCTTTTTAAAAAATGTATGTATTGGAAATGAAAAACTCATAATCCCACACAAAGGGATATATTTTTTTTCATTATCAAAGAATGACTGATGTGTAGAACAGGAAAAGCTCCTCTACGTGACAACAAATGAAATAATTGAAATGAGGTGGATCTGCCCAGATCCAGTGGTTATTATATTGCCTTCTGTCTCATCACATGGGACTTAAACAGTAAACTCTTCCAATGACTGAAATTCCAAAAGTCTACAGAGTCCCTACAAGGGGAAACTGCTAACGTGCTTGTGGAATGGTTATAGCATGGGGAATGAAGAGATATTAAACTCCCAATCTTGCATTATTGAGGGATAGAAAGAGCCATAAATGAGCTGACTTCTCTCTATGAGGGCACTGTATTGTTTACTGATAAAGCAATCCTGCCTCAGTATCCTCAGGGCTTTTTCTTCCTGATTTCTCCAACTCACTGGAGAATGTCCATACTCTGCCTATAGACTTCAACCTGAGTTTTAGAGAAGACTTCATTCTGTAAAATATATTCTGTTATGTGCTTGGTTTGTTTGCTTATAAACCAGGGTTGTATACTCTAGTATAGCCTTCTCCAACCTTGACATTCATCAATCCCTCAAATTGTCCTGACAGTATAGATGTTAATTCTGGAAGATGAACTCCATACATTCAGAGAATACAAAGGAGAGGACTGCTTCTAATTAATCTTTAGATTAGTCTTTGCATATGTCTTTTGATCTAATTTATTTATTTTCAAGTATATAATCATCTGTGGAGTTTTTTTTTCCTGGTTAGAACACAATAGTATCAGTAAAAACGTGTAAAACAAAACCGAAGGAGTTGGCACCAGAAACAAATTTTAAAAAGAGAAAGATAACTGTTATGTGCTAGCCAGTTAAATAACTTGTCCCATTTCACTACCCTGCACATGGGTTTGATAACACCTGGAAGCTCAGTTCATATGGGAAACCATCCAATCATCTTATATCTCCCTACACCTGCATTTCCTGTTCCCATTTCATGAAAAAGAATAATTTGAAAGAATAGTAGAATTTTTGCATGTTATTGAAGCATCCTGTAAACTGAAAGAAAAAGATTATCAGATGACTCCCATAGCATCTTATTAACTCAGCATGTGAACTTTTCTGAAAGAGCAACAATTGAACACTGTGAGGAGAGGGGAGGGGATGTAGGGCAGATAGTTCAGAGACAGTGCTTTGGAATCCAAAAACTTCCTTTCTGGAAGTGAGGTTGCCCATGTTAGCCCTTTATATTCCCAAACTGTCAAGATGCCAGGAAAAGCTTCAAAGTTACAGTGAATTTTGAATGGAGACTTAGAACAGACTGAGAGGCTTACTTATGAGGAGAATATTATTGATGCACACACACACACACACACACACACACACACACACACACACACTGATGAAGGTTTAACAAGAAACAACATAACCATTTGTCTATTTGTTTGCAAAATTGCCTCCTTTCTCCCCCTCCCTATTTTGTGCCAGTTTCCATTTCCCTAGTGTGTCCGCCACTGTCTGGGGAGCTGTGACAATGCTGCAGCCTTTGGATTATGAATAAAGAACGTCTGTTGTGGTTTTCACTAAGACCTACCCTGCCCTCCCTGTTCTTTAAAGACGGATTGCCCTTAGGGGGACATCTGGGCTGAAAGACACAACATGGTAATATCATCACATGGGAAGATCCAGTGGACAGCAGCCCATGGTTCTACTCATGCTTGCCCCACAGCAGATGGCTGAGTCGCCTTTGAATTTGCTACAGTGTCCCAGATATGGCATCATTCTGGGGTTTCTGGGAAATTAAAATGGTGATTCAGATCCAGTTTCCTGGTGCTGTTCAAACCACTGTTATTTCTGTCTGCTGCCTCCAGGAAATGTCAAGGAGGCCACCAATGTAATATGAGACTCACTGTCATAAAACTGAGGTTATTCTGCTATACTGCCAAAGGCTTCTCAAATACATAACACAGGCACTGAGAAAGGAGAGGAGCCTTTCTTCTACTGAGACTGAGCAGGTCTTCTAGTGATAGTTGCTTTACGAATGAGAGACTGCATAAGCTATGCTGCTCTGGATCTCTTAGGAAAAGGAGGCCAAGATGGTAGATGGTATATCTACAGAAGCTGGAAAATGTGGGTGAAAGGTTTACAAGTTTATTATGCCTGATGAACACAATGTTATGCAGGGGAATGAATGGCTATCATTTTTAGTGAAGCTATAGAATAAATTGTTGCATGACTGCAAGCTATAATTGGTACCAGATGGCTTATAGCCAAGCTGCCCTGCTCACTTGCTTTCTCAAGGCAAAACCTTTCAGATGCCTGGCTTTGATGGGATTTGGCCTAATATTGTTCAGAAAACTAAGTGTGATATGGGTAAGGACTTCACCCTCTAACAAAGTCTTCACCTTTTGTGATCACAAGATCCAGGAAACAGCACCTTCCATGACGTGCTGCTGTTGAGCAGCAAGGAGCCGAAGTACAGCGGCTGTTGTTTCCCAGGCAGAAATGGTTCGGCAGGAAGCCAGTTCTTAATCACACAGCCACATCATATCATTACGGAGCGCCACTCGGTGCAACCACTTGCTGCACACCCTGCACCTC